TCGGTGCACATGTTGATTATGGTGATTAATTAAGGAAGCTTTAATTAAGAGAAAATGCACAGAGGGTAGAGCAACTCGCAGGCGTATGGCATACTCTAGATGAGGCCCGAGGGCGGTGACATGAGGAGATCAATTTTTCCTTTTTTTTTTTATGGAGCTGCGTTGAATCAAGAGATGGAAATCATTCTTGTTTTGAAAGCAATCTTTCAAGAAATTAACGTAGTTAAGGGTTAGGTTCTAACTAATTAAAATCAAATTTACCATTTGAATTAAGCTCTTCGAATCAAATGATTCGTCTTTAAACTTTAAGTACTTAGATTTAGTTAATCAAGAGATCAATTTTTGTCAACATCTTAAAAAAATATCTTTCATCTCCAAGTTTTTCAATGTTCAAAAAAAAAAAAATTTCTCATTCTATTTGTCCACAAGTATAAAATTTTCTTTCATTCATTCTTATTATTCATCTAGGGTCTAGAGTCTAGAGTTTAGACTCTGGAGGTTGTTCGTGTTTCGCTGGCTTCATCTTGATATTATCATGTTTCAACTTCCAACTAATTTTTTTTTTTTTTACCACAAGAAAAAAAAAATAAATATATATATATAGACACACACAAAAGCACAATAAATATTCTAACCTTTAAACACAAAATTTAAGATTACAATTCAAAAAATAATCCAAAACCCAACCAGAATAAAAGTAAAATTAACCCTGGAACATAACTTGCCACAGCCAAATCACACCCACCCCAAAGCATTAATGCATCGATTTTCTTTTCTTCTTTTTTTTTTTTAAATAATAGCTCTCTCCTTCATTCCAGAAATGATAGACACACCCTTGGCGCATTAATCCAATCTTTTAATGTGAAATCGCAAAACAGAATATGCTGTTAGAAATATTAAGCCTCAGAACAATCAATTTTGTAAGAGGAGATGATATGCTCCACCACTTATAACATTTAATCCAGCTGCTTCTATATGCAACCTCACAACTTAAAAACAAGTGATTCGATTCTTCACCCACTAAGCCACACAAGTCACAGGTAATTAGACTACTTTCATCTATTATAATGCCTCTTTTTATAATAAATTTTAATTCCCTAGCTGGTGAGGATCCTATTAAGATCAAACTTCTTATTCTGTTCGTCCACTATTCCTATTAATTTTTTTTTTT